GATACATTGGCTTAAATAAATGCAATTAAATAAATGGCAAGTTCTAAAGAAGGTGATTCCTGTAAAATTACTTTCACAAACAATAGCAATAACCACAGTGAATGCAAAAATATTGTCTTCTTAAATTATAAAATATGGGTTACAATGACACACATTGAGTCTGGCAAAGAATGGGAATCAAGCAATATAAAACAAAGTAAAAATACTGTGCTTTTGTCGTTACAAAGGAAATAATACGTGGCCCGTTCTGTGAACTGAAGTTTTGCGTTAGCTACATTAACGAAAAGAGAATGCAACACTGTTATTTGGTATATATCATGGACCTCTCTGGGATATCTGGTTGCATTGCTGTGCTAGTTTCATTCTGTGCACTTCTTGTATGAAATATCTCAATGGAGAAAAGGGGTTTGAAAAATGACAAATGTAATGCAGATAACCTAGAAACACAACCCAAAATACTGATTTTGTTATGACAAAATGTAAACAAAATAAAAAAGCAACCAAAATTAAATAAAAACACAAAACCCAAACTTTGACTAAATTTTCACTCCATCCACTTAAAATGGCAAAAACATCGACTGAAAGTATGGGATATCAGACTCGTTTTCACAGAGTGGTTCACACCTGTGGTTTGCCATTTTTATTAAACACTAATTAAGACTGCTGGAGTCTGGACGCTGATCTGAGGCAAAGGTGGGGGTCATTATCAACGTCCAGACATTCTAACCTACTTATACAAGTACATGTATATGAAAATAATTAACACACAGAATTTGAACTAAATTTTGGTGGTTAAAGCGCACACCTAACGAAAATTGAGTTTGTTGCTTTTGTAAATTTGTAATAAATTACATAACAGTGTTCTTTTTTTTTGTCATTTGTTAATAAACTACATAATCTCCAAATATTCGTTTGGTAAAAGAAATCGATTCCCGACCTGAGCACTGACAGAACGTCTTTAATGTATGCAGGCAGGTGTTATGGTGTAATTACTGTTTTGCCTGCTTTTTCATTAATCTATTGATATCTTGTATCTTTTCAGAGAGATACCTCTTAAACTTCTTATTTTCCATCTCCATTTCTTCTTTACTAACCTTCTGACGCTGAAGGCGATTCATGAAGCACTCTGTATGGGGGAAGGAAAAAGAATACTGAGCACTTTTTTTTTATTGAATTGAAAAAAACACACTTTTGAGAATTGAAGAATGCATGCAAAAATGTGCAGTGATGCAGCGAAATGCAGCTTCAATAATGTGAATTGCTAGTGTTAAACCAGACCTTTTGGGTGTAAGTGGTCTGGAGTTCAGGAAACTCCATTCCCCCCCCCCATCCGCAGGACCATTCCAAATGCAAATTGCTGTAGATGGTCTGAAACATCAAAAATCTCACTTTTTGAAACGGGGTTGAGGAAAATACATAGATGTACCCAATCCTCTATCAAAACTTGTATTTGTAATGGCCATGTGAAAAAACAGACGTTTCCTGACATCCGGAAAACTAACATCCTTAACATTTAGTATCACCCCTGATGTTGCTTGCACACAGCACAACATTTGACCTTCATGTACATGGTGTGTGTGATGTAGACCCTTCTCATCACAATGGCCAAAGTAATAATCATTGTCCATATTCCTAAAAGTATATGTACAGTGTACTTTACCTTTCACAGCCTTCAATTTCTCTGGGCTTAGAGGCGCTTTGGCCTCTCGCTGGCTAAATCGGGGACAAAGTTTGCCCTCCACTGACCTATCTTTCAGGACATTGGTCCCCCATACCGCCACTGCAAGGCCCTTGACAAACAAGGAGTTCTTGTTTTGGCTATTGACGGCATTCCACTGACGACTCGTCAGTGAAATACCTGCTCCCAGAGAGATCTGTTGAGAAGCAGAAGAAAGAGAAAGTGGTTTCCAATGTACATTTGTATTTCAACATGGTTGGTCACAATTCAGGCAATGAGGCACTTTGTTTGTTTCATAATAGTACAACTGGCAATGTCTGTGCCCATACTACAATTTTATTTAAAATGAATATACAAATGTGATAAGGATTCAGACAGGAGTCCTGAGTAATGATAGCACAAAAAACTTAATTAAGATTATCTTTACAAAGAGCCTCCAATAATGAATTTTATTTTTCAAGTACCAGATTCTGAATTACTGAATCAGCACTGTGTTTTTCTGGTAGTTGTGAAAATTCAAGTCATTGTGAGCTTAGAATTTATTAAGTAGAATTACATCGCCCAACTGAATTTTTTTGGAAACAGAGCGAAACAGTATATTCTAGCAAAATTTAAAGGAACATACATGTATTTCAATCTAACCATTGTTACAAGGGCTGAAAAAGGGCTTTCATTTTTTTCACTTTTCATTTAAAATATATTGTATTTTCATCTGCCGGATGAGACTTGAATATCTGATTCTTGAATCTTAAGTGGCACAACTTTTTTTTAAGTTATCAAAGTGAATGAGAAAATCATGTAAAAATGCCAATTTATCTAATTTATTTAACATTTAAAATGGCTGTTCAAGCATCTAAAGGCCATCAAAGATTTTCACCTGATGCATTGTTCTGCATCTGGCAGGGTTAGGGTTAAGGTGGAATATAACATTTCCAAGGAATAAAATATTTACAGTACCTTTCCGTCTTCTTCAACGTAGCTTGGGCCTTCTTTAGCTGGCATGTCATCCACACTGCAAACCTCAGTTTCTAGTGGTTCTGGAGTGGATTTCTTAACATTGTCTTAAATGTCAGAAAAGAATGAACATTATATAATTATTATTTCCCAAAACATAGGCCTATGTACATTTTTAGCAATAGTAAACACCTTATGAGTAAAAAATTTGTACAGGAAAAATTACATCTGCCTAAACTTCAAGACATGTAAATTTGCAATGATTTTTGCAAGTCTTGGAAGACTTGTCTTGAACTAATTCTATTTTGTGTATTTTTGCTTCCAACAGCCCATAACAATTTTGCAAAGTGTTCAAAGGAATTACAAATTGGGAGATTTTTTCCCTTTCACCAATTCGGTATGTTTTGAGTCCCGGGGAGCACAACACTAGTGACTAAAGGAAGGAATCAAAGCCATGACCTCCTAATACGGACAAGAAGCAGACAGGTCATGGTTCGTATCTCGCTGGAGACACCAGATAATTTTTTTCCATGAGACTCAAAACACGATTAACCTATAGTGTCCACAACATATGAAGAGCAAAAATTCCCAGTTTACATCATTTTTCTCATGAAGAAATGCTGATCAATGTTTTCATTTCCGATATGGTTTCAAGTTGGAAAGAACTGTTTGTTTTGATAAACAAAGTGTTTCTTTGTGAAGTTTTATTGCTAAACCGGCCATGCAAGGTTTCAGGTCATCAATTTGGTCAGACTCTAAAGTTTTAATAGGTACGTAGATTGCAAAAAACAAACGGTTTGTTTGGCCTTACCGTCTGTTTTTCCTCTCAATGCTTCCAACAGCTGAGTTTGCAGTTGTTTGTTTAGTTTTTGATATTCTGCTGCTTCAGTGCGGGCCCGCTTAGTCTCAGCTTCCAGTTTAGCAATGGTGGCCTCCGCATCCATACAACGGCGCTTCATGCTGTGCAACTTTGATGCACAGTCCTTACTCTGGCATGACTGAGCCACCTCCTGCACTGCATGATTCACTGATTCAAACACTGGTGATGCCTTCTTTTTTTCCAGCTTTTGTTTGATCATTGACTTAAGGCTTCTTTGCTTGGCAGCTTCCATACTTCTCTGTGCCTCTTTCTGTCATTGAAGTAAAGGTAGCAGCTTCTTTTTGAAATGATTTGTTTGTGCAATTTACTGCACACTGGGCTTACTTAATTGAAAGGAATGGAAACACATTAACATCTCACTTTAATACAACTCATCCATGAATCCTCCCAAGATTTCATAATATTGCAAACAAACTGACAGGGTATTTAGTCCATGCATGAGCCACAATTACATGTACACGTTTATTGACTTCCTATTAGGCAAAGTAAAAAAACATACATGTTTATCGTCCCCGCCCACTTCCTTTAAGGGGGCTGCCTCTTTCAAAAAGTTTAAAAACCAACAAAAAAATCTTTTTCCAAAAATTTGGAGGAAAAGATGTAAGCCCTTGAAAAGCTGAGTCCAACTGGGCACATTTAATAAAGCTGGTGGTCATCTTGCAAAATAGGGGGCTGGAGGACTAATAAAAAACACAAAAAAAAGGGGGCCTCCTCCTTCCTTTTCTCCACAGAGGGAGGAAGCTAAATATGTTTTTTAAAACTTTGCCTTACTGTTTGTATGTAAATCATCAGACCCCTTTCCTTAATTTTCTGAAAAGGGACTTATCTGACCTGCAACCAACTTTTCTGCCAAGTTGACTTACGATCAAATTGTTTGAGACCGAGTTGACCTGAAACCATAACTTACACGGATCTTTGCTGTTTCCTTTTGAATGACTTCACATTCATCCTCAGAGGAAGAACTTTCCACACTTGTGTCCAACACCTTTGGGATTCTAACTCGGGAGGCTTTTTTCTTCTGTTCAAGTTCCTGTCGGGTAGCTGTTTTCACAAAATGTAGTACCACATCAAATTCAATGACACAGGCTAACTACATGTAGCAATCATGACAGGCATTCAACATGTTTCTCCAGCAGTTAAGACAACAACTAAACTCAAGTTAGGGCCACCTCATAAGTTGGGGCCACTCCAATTAAATTTCATTGTCACAGTATTATGTGTTCAGACTTGGTTGGGATTTGAATTCGGAGTTGATCTGTTATGTGCAAAATGGGATAAATGTTTCAACCTGACGCCACTTTTGAAACCAGAAAAAAATACATTTCTGACTGTTGTCTTTCATACATTTATGTGTAGAGTCCACTTGCATGTGAGCACTATAGTATGAGGAGTTTGTGGGGAAAGTCTTTCATGGAGTCTGGTCAACTGAGTGCATTTTTAATGGGCAGCTGCTATCGTGGCATGTGTAACACATTGGCCTTTTTCTACATGTACATGTATATTGTTACAACTGCGTAAGCATACTAACTTTAGTGCAGATTTCATTTCCCTAAAAAAAAATCTTCCAATATGCCTCAGATGAGGAAAGAAAGAGATTCCTGCTTTCAGTGCTTACACAATTAGTATCCAACAAAAAGAAATTCTGGTAGTGGTAGGGCCTCTAGGCCTTAAACTTGAAATTTAAAAAAAAGGTCCAAACGCCGATTAGAAATCTCACACCATGTGGGTTCGAAACGCCTTAGTCACTCGCCCACAACTATTGCTCGGCAGTAGTTTGAATTTTAGAAATATATAAACTGTCATAATGAACAGTAACGTCATCGTGCTTGTGCAGTTCAGTGCCGTAATGATAGAATTTAGACATGTTAGAAATGGGAAGCATGTTCATGGTGTTATGACTGTCAGAACGACAGCCACGCACTAAGAGTTTAATGTGTGCACCCCGTATTGGATGTACATAGGCCTAAAAATGTGAAATTTTGTTCCGGCAAAATGAAAGACTTTCCCATAAACTCTACTCATACTCATGTTCACATGCAAGTGGACAAAGTTAATGAAGGACAAGTTATGAGTTTAGAAAGTAGCATCATGTTGCTACACTTATCCTCCGACCCCCATAAAATTATTGAACTCCCCATGCGGGCGAGACGGAGGTAGGTTTAGCGCCCGGAGGTACATGTATATGCCACACAAAAGTTTCTTATTCTTAACGTCAAATATTTTTACAACTGGTGTATCTATCTATTTATTGTATAAATGGCTGCAATTGAGCTATTTTTGCTGCAAGAGTCTTTTTAAATAAACCATTCATAAAACAGTGGGGCTTACCTCCAAGCATCAGTATCTGAGCCTTGTAGTACATGTACACGTCCTCGTCACTGCTGCTACACAGGGCTTGCCACGTCACCACGCCACTGTACTAAATACGCTTTCGCTGAGTCAAAGTCCTTCGCTGCAGTTAGTCTGAAGTTCTTGATGTAATGTATAGGAACAATGTCCTTCTCGTTGTCCTTTAAGTACCTCACAAAGGCAAATTTTATGGTCGAAGCCATATCTCTGACTGACCGATGTTACTATTAGGGTTTTACTAGTTCAAGACGATTCAAAAGCTGCGCGTGTGTGCCACGTATGCACGAGATGCGCCGGGAACGTGGTATGGTTCCTTGCCCTATGAGCTGCCAGTGTCCAGCATGAGTCCGTTCTGGGAACCAGACTTAATGACGACCGCATCGTGACGATTCTTATATAACTAGGGTGCAGTGTCCCAATTCAAGGAAAATTCTCCGCCAGGCGGCGCCGCAGAAAAAGTACCCCCCAGAGATTGTTTCAAAAAGAGGGGTCTGTTTGGGCCAAGAAATGGTGGGATTGTGTCAATGTGGCCCAGGATTATATGTGTAGATTCAAGGGCACCCATCTGGGGGTAAAGCAGACAAAAATGGGACTGAAAATTAGTCAGAAGAGCCCGAGGAATTAAGGTGAGGGATGTCATTTGAAAAATGGCCGCTTGGAGGGCTTGGTAACCTTCACTTTTTGGGGGGTGAGTTTGTTTTGGGCCGATAATTAAAAAATTCATTGGTGAACCTACTAAAAATTGAAAATCAAATGAAATCTGAAGGACCACACAACACATTGTTTTTTGTTTGAGAGGCCTCAGGGACTTCAGTTGCCTGCCATGGGTCTCCAAACTTGGTTGATTTTACACTATTTTCAACGGAGCTTGAATTGGTTCAGTGCACCCACTATGTACATGTTGGTACGATCGACCGCGCGCGCGACTGTTGACCGTGACGAAAAAAGTCATTTGCAAACGAAGCTTACAAATGCGTGCTAATTAATTTTCCCGTACGCTTATAGGCCAGTGAGGTTTCATTTTATTTTTTTTATTAACTGAAGTAATTTTTACGATTTTAAATATCAGTATCTAATATTTTTTTTGATTGAAGGGGGGGGTGGAGTTTGTATGACGTCATCCCAGCTCAGTTCATGGTTCATGTGGTTTGTGTTCATCATGCAGGTTGAACATGTACATGTACATTACATGTACATGTACGTGTACCGTACATATACAGTGCAGTATATATGTATATCGCGCATAGCAGATTAAAAAATGGCTGATCCCAGCACATCAAATTGCACAAGGCCAACTCGACGTGGCAGGCAGTACAGAACCTACTTAGAACCTGAGGATTACGACAGCGATGCAGCTGAGGTTCCACGTTCTTCCCGGCACAGATGGAAGACCTGGAAGAAGCAGGATTTCACTTCAAGTGCCAGACGCAAAGTAGAGGGACGCGTGCGCGAGGGGACATCCGTCCTGGCTGTAAGTTGAACTAAGTTACATATACCCAGTACATACATGTAGTAAGTAGTCAGGCAGTAGGCTAGTACTAGCAGGCTAGTAGTTGGTCCTACTGTCATGACAGTACTGTCAATGACCTGACACTGTCAGTGACAGTAGACATGGTATACTGTAGGCCTAATTTACTAATTGGAGACCAAGTGTTTTTGATAAATTGTTAGCAATAGCAGATATTCTCTCGATTTGCAAGAGTTCTTTTTTCTTATGATTGTGTACTGTAGGTTCACACCCCTTCTCCAGTTCAGGATTTTCAGCCAACTTTGCTACCAGAATCAGAGATGTTGGAAAGTGATGACATCTTGGACGCACATGTCCCTGCCAGCTTCAGTGCAATTATTCAGGAGGTATGTACATACATGTGCATGTATGTGTACCATTATAAACTTTGAAATTTTGTCGACTTTTCCCCATAGATGTGCTTGTAAAAACAGGACTTCCTCCTTGGTAAAGTGAGCAGTACAATGACTAAAAAACTTCTCTCATTTTGGACCAAGTTTGCAACAACCTCAATGGCTGAGTTTTTTGTTCATGCATGATATTCTGTTAACATCCACTAATACATTGATTGCATGTCAGCTATTTCAAATAAAAGATGTACAAGTATAAAGTTTAGGCAACCTTTTGCAGTTCAGTCTGGGTCCTGGTACTGCTTTATATCAAGGTTCATTCTCCTTTGTAAAAAAAAAGCATATTTAATCCTGCCTAGTTTTTAAGTCCTCATTTTACGTCCACTTGATGGGATTGGTGGTTTGAAACTAAAAGTATGTTCTCCAGGATTATCCATGGGGGATACATGCACCCGTATAGCATATACATGAACACTTATGCTGTGAAACTTACTCTGAATAACTCTCCTATGTGTAACCCACTTTTTGCTCCAGTTGGGAGGTGGCAGATAATTGCACAAATTGAGCCTCAAAGCACTGTGTCATTTGTGCTGTCTGGAGCTGGCAACGTCTTGTATGAGTTGCAAAAAAAAACAAGCATGTGGTGACTGTGTTGTATTCTTGTACATGTATCTTTTGTTTATGGGTTATAGTGTTAGGACTCAATCTGGTCCTAGACTATGGGCAGTACAACACAAGTTGACTTGTATCATGTTTGCAGTTGACTTTGCTTAGGGTGTACTCATACCTATATTTAATACTTTGCATTAACACAGGATGTTGCACCAGACAACTGTGATGAAAATGATGCTGCATCATCAGTTGGGTTCAGTAGCTCGGAAGTAGACACCCAAGCAAGTGATGGTGACGACCAAAGTGATCCCTCAGATTACGGTGGCGAAGAGCAAGAGGGGTTGTTTTCCAGCAGTGAAGATGAAGAAGATGAAATGTTCAATATTGATGAAATATTGAACCATCCACTTTGTGATGGTGTTGAAACAACCCGGGCAGAGGCACTTTTAATGGTGATGTCTTTTGTTATGAGGTATGCCCTTTCCACTGCAGCACTTGTTGGGTTGTTACAGCTCATTAATGAACTGTTTGGAAAACCGGTGCTAGTTGCGACAAGGTTTCTATGCCAGAAAATATTTAAGAACAGACTCTTCAAGTTTTCATTTCACTTTTATTGCCAGTGTTGCTATAGTCTTGTTGGTACTTATGAAGGAGCTGGACAAGGACATATTCCTTGTCCTCAGTGTGACAGACCTTGTTCAGTTCAGAGTTTATCAAATGGCAACTTTTTTGTGACAACAAATTTAAGGTCTCAGATCAAATCTCTTTTTGAATTACCTGATATAGCGAGAAATCTCACCTATCGATACACTCGTATCAAATGTAGGCAAGATGGTATCGAGGATATATATGATGGTGAGATATACAAAATGATGTCTCGGCCTGGGCAGCCATTGGCAAATGAAAAAAACTTTTCGTATTCATTCAACAGCGATGGTACGCCCATTTTTAAATCTTCAAAGTATTCTCTATGGCCCATCTATCTGATGATAAACGAATTGCCCCCTAGGATGAGAAGAGACAATTTGATTGTAGCTGGTGTTTGGTTTGGAAAATCAGAACCCAAGATGAACATATTTTTAGAGAAATTTGTCACGGAGGCTAATTTATTAATTACTGAAGGTATTTCTTGGAAAAACAATGGGCAGTTTGTTCACAGTGAATTATATGGCATTTCCTGTAATGTTGATGCACCAGCCCGTGCAACCATGAAAAATACTGTTCAATTTAATGGCTACATGGGCTGTGGGTTGTGCTATCATCCCGGAGTGAGTGTGGAAAGAACAGTGAAATACCCTGTTGATGTTTGTGATTATTCTGAACGCACTGATGATGAATTGCTGCATGACATGATGAGAGCTACTGATGAAGGGCACGTTGTAAGGGGGGTAAAAGGGCCAACTCCACTAATAAATTTGCCACATTTTTCCATTGTTTGGGGATTCCCAGTAGATTTTATGCACTGTGTTCTTCTTGGTGTAATTCGGCAGTTAACAGAATTGTGGATTGATTCACCAGCTGGAAGTCCATTCTACATAGGGTCATTGAATAATATTGCATATTTAGATAGCGTGTTGAAACAAGTGAAACTTCCCAGTTTCACACCTAGAACTCAAAGACCAATATCTGAAAGGAAATTCTGGAAGGCAAGCGAGTGGTATAATTGGCTGTTGTTTTTATCGTTGCCTTGTTTGTTGGGGATTCTTCCACATGCATACTTCATTCATATTTGTAGCCTTATTGAAGCAGTGTTTTTGCTCCTACAAAAATCTGTATCTGAAGCAGATGTGAACCGCGCAGATATACTCCTTTATTCATTTGTTGCGCATATGCAGCTCTTATATGGTAGAGGAAGCATGACGTTCAACATTCATTCCCTAACTCACCTCCCAAAAGGTGTAAAAATGTGTGGACCCTTGTGGACACATTCATGTTTCCCATTTGAAACGGCGAATGGTAAAATCAAGGCTCTTCTTCATGGCAACAGAGGCATCATAATGCAAACATTGCACAAATTTCTTATGATTAAGTCTTTACACATGTTCAAACTTGTTTATGGGATATCCGATCAAAAAAAGGCATTTTGTGAACAACTTCTGTTAACCAACAAATTTGAGCCATCACATGTGATAGGTGAAATCCAATTATATGGCGTGGGCCATATGACTAATCTGTCACCTCAGGAAATGGCTGCCATTCAGTTAACTGATTTCATTATTGGTGATGAAGCGTTAGCTTTTAACAGGATGTCACTAAGAGGACTGTTATTTCACACTGTGCATTATCAAAAGTCCAAAACCAGAAATAACACAGTCATTTTTACTGACCGTGGGAAGTTTGGTGTACTGCAAAGGATAATTTGCACCAGTCATAATGAATGTGTAGTATTACTCAAAGAAATATGTGTTGCGCCTGTAAATGTTTTTTCTGATGGAGCATGTACAGTCTCTCACATTAAGAAATGTGTTGACTTTTCTGACCATATACATGTTGTAAATGCATTAGGTATTAGTGGGAGTTGCATTATAATTAAGGTCAGAAACTCATCTTATGTTTGTCTCCCACCAAGTTATGTTACAATGTAGAAGTCTTCATGCAGCAATACAGCATGTACATATGCTATACTATCAAATTCTTCCAGGTTTCTTGGAAAATGAGTAATTGTAAAACTGCTGCAAAAGTGCAGACAAGTGTTGAAGTATGTGTATTATGGCTCCTAGTCATGCCCCAGAATGAAGATAAATTTATGCACAGTGCTGTATTTGTGAATCCAATATTTTACACCAACTATACGTTTCTTATTTTGTTTCAACTGTACGTTATTAAGACTGGCCCACATAACCCATTTCTTGTATAGTTACTCAAAGTATCCTCTATGGATAAAGGCCCAGTACTGAGTTGGAATTAATTTGCATATTATTTGGAACATTTAGTTAATAGAGTTAGAGTTTTAGGCTGGTCAACTTTTTAGTCGGATCTCATCAGAGGCTCAAGCAGTTCAGGTTCGGGTGTGTTTGCACAGCAGATCCATAGAGCATTAGCTCAAGATACATGTGCATGTATATTTAGGGGGAAAATTCTTTTCCTGAGCTAATGGGGATAGGATACAGACCAGTGAAACAGCTGAATTCCCAAAATCTTCAAGAGAGGCTGGCTTTTGAAGGCAACTCACATCTCGAAAAACCAAGTATATTTTGTATGAACTTCATTCAACCTGTTCACTCCGGGGTTGGACACTTTCACAACTGTCACCAATTTGGGCTGTAATTTGACTCAAGTGTACATGTAGCAACGGTTGTTGGGCTTGATAATTCAGTTGTACTTCAAAATTTGGAGTTTCACTAGATTCTGCTAAATTGTGTTTTGAATGACAAATTTGTGATGTACATAACTGTAAATAAATCTTTTTTTGTTGTAAATGACAAGCCAAGTTTCAAGAAGTTCTCTCGTTTTCAATGACGTGTCCTGTAACAGAAAAATAGTTTACAGTTGAGGCCAGTTTGTCAGAGTCCTATTGAAATTCATGAGACTATTAACTCTTGATTGGTAACATTGTTAATTTTATATTAT